GGTTCACGAACTTTATTTCTTTAAAAATTGTAGGTGTCCGATTTTGTCACGTCGACACTGTTCGGCTGTCGAATGTATAAGTGCAGGTGCTTGTACACGCTCTAGGTACAAAGAGGAGACGAAAAAAAAAAGAAAAATAATTACTTGACATGCCCTTATGCGGGCGTGTGTATATATGTATGTATGTACATATGTAATAGCTGGGAGATCGATGCTCAGCGCAGAATAGCGCGAAGCTTGCCCAATATATATGTATGTTCGCCCAATATATGTATATGTATATGGTATGTAAATATGTAGGGTTTGTATTGGCACAGTGGAGCGTCGAGAAGTGGACTGTATTGAATTGTGCGAACAGAAAAATGTGTATGGATACAGCACAAAAATTAGCGAAAAAAATATCGTGACAGCGGCAGACTGTTAGGCGATCAGGGTGAATTCCCGCAACAAGCGTACACCGGCTGCCCGATATTAATTATGCCTTTCTTTTTGTAACACAATTTCACTGTTCACGGAGAATTTTTTTGTACGGAAATATTAGCACAAGTTTAGAATGCATGTCTGTGTATGTGGCTGCACATAGGCCTCGACCGTTGGCAAGTGGATGAACAACGGGGAATCGAAGAGATGGCGGCGCACACAAAACGGACACGGATGGAAAATTTCGAAGTTCGGAGGCGAATAGAAAGTGGAATTTCTCACTACCGTGGTGTCAGGAAAACTCGGACAGGGAGTTGACACGAACAGAAAAATAAATTTTGCAGTGGTGCGACCGAAATTAAATGTTCGGCCCACTGTTGAAGACCGGCAGCGAGAACAAGACGGAAGCAAGCATATACTTATCTCTAGCGGAAAAATCACCGAGAACTGCTGGTGAAAGGACGGAAGGATATCCGGATCCGGCTCGAAAGACCAATGTTTGTAAGGGGCCGATCCTGCCGCTAAAGATCCTGGAAAATGTAGCCCGATGAAAATTCCCACGTCGCATGCGAAGTCGAAGAGTAAAGGCGGGGGCGTCGTGGGCAATTCAAAATCGTCAGCTTTATTTCGCTGCATACATAAGACTAATTAGCTTAAACGTAAGGGCTGCGCTCCCGACCGATAAGCTAAGCTTAACAGTGCGAGAGCGGGCCCGAGAAGTGGAGCGCGAACTAGCCGTCCCTCAGCTCGCCTAGCAGCGAGCGAAGCTCGGAAACTCGGGAGCGGGCGTTCGCGAACATCGAAGAGTTGGCGCGGGAGCGCTAAGAACTAGCCCGATGAGCCGTGCGCGAAGAGCCGACTTGCGGGAGTGCAAGAGCGGCCAAGCTTTGGAAACTCTGTGGACAGAGGCGGCGCCGCGAAGTGCCTCCTGACGTGAACAATGCCAAACTCATAAACAAAAGGATTTTGCTTTGACTTTAGCTTTTTAATACCACACAGAAAATGCAATGAGTAAATGTAAACCAATATTCGTACAGTTTTAACTTATATGATCGGTTTCTAAAATGTCGCGTGTGTGTATAAAATAATCTCAAACAAAATACATTATTAAGATACTTCATTGCTTAATTCATTTAAATTGACAATGATTACAATTTTTCATCACGCTTCGCTTAAATCAGAGCTTAAGCTGGTTTCTTGCAAATGTGAAGGCATACAAATGTCGCATTCGACATCAGAGAATATATAATACATGTACCTACATATTAATACCCTGCAGTACCAGTCATCAGTAATTCATCAACAGTCAAGGCGGTGTTGTTGAAGATTCGTCGATGAATTGCCATACAAATTGTTGATGAATTTAACATGGGCATGTCCTAGGCTGGCATCATTAACAATTCATCAACAATTCATAGATGTTTCATGAATAATTCATCGATGTTTCATCAACAAAATTCATCAACGGCCGGGCCATGTTACTGCCGACGACTGCCATCTAGATTACCGTGGTAACTGTATCGTGGGCAGAGCGTCGTAGTAGAAGTCGCAGTCGGCAGAGAGTGGCCTCGGTAGAAGTCGCAGTCGGCACGTTGATGACTGGCGATGACAGTGGCCTATTGATGACATGCGGATTTTTACGCTCTCAACTTTGTGAGAGAAGGGAAAGCGCCATTGCCGTTTGAATAAAAATAAAAATAACCTCATATTGCAAAACGAATGTATGGTCGTAAGGCATCTTATAAACTGTAATGTCTATGGTTTGAACCTTGGGATCAGTCTTAATGTAAATGTTACGGGGCGCAAATGCCTTATTTCTCTTCTCTTCTCTGTATGTATTCATTCACACGTTTTTTCTTATCATAAGTTTTTTAAATTTATTCCTTTAAAAAATTTTAATTCGGAAATTTTATTTACGTTGCCCCTCAATGGGCAATGGGCAATGAATAAAAAATTATATGTTAACCCGGACTTCTTTACTTCACCGTCAATAAAAACTAACATAAAACTTATTTTTACGTGGCTTTAAAGGCAAGTATATGCTAAAACTTTTGATTTTAGGGAGAAAGTATTTCAATGCTCGAGAGATAGAGAGAGTGTGCTTTGGGTTAGCGGACATTGAAGGAGTGGGTATTGGACTGTGCAAAGCGTGGTTCTGCAGGGACTTTATGGTTATCTTATTTAATTGTGTCTGCCTTGAGGCATTTGTTTATGTCTGGCGGCAAAAAGTGGTTCTGCAAGAATTGGAAGGTTGACTGTTCTAGGACAGTCAAATAATGAGAGCTTATACTGTCGGTATCATGATTCGAGCTTAAGAGAATTACAAATGGGGTATAGAAACGGTTCACAGAAATGCAGTGAACCTATTCAAGAAAACTTACCAGCTCAGGCTACTTTTGGATCAGTCTAATGTTGTTTTTATCTGTGTATCTGAAATCTCTTTTTTGCGTCTGAAGCGAAAAGTAAATTAATAAATTTTAAATTTAAAATAAATAAATAAAATAACATTCCAGTTAGGTACATTGGTGCCCAATGCTAGTCTGCATTTTATACCACTTACCAGGTGCTGTATCTGCCGACAACCATAGCTCAGCCGCAGACCATGCTGCCGCCCAATGTAAGAGACACTCCGTGAATTTGCCTTTGCTTCTTGCTGTGTTAGCAATCTACGCTCCAGCCATTTAAGACCAGGTCAAGCCAAGTTGAACCGGGTGTATGTCGGAAGCTCCGGCCAAATGGGGCGCTACTTAGCCTCCCTTGCAGTGAAATATTTTCCTCCGATTTATTTATGATGCGGTGGAAATGGCACTTGGTCCGTTTCATGACCTTAACTACACATGTGCCCACCTTGATATTAACGGAACGCCACAGAATTCAACCACGTGACTTGGCTTTCAAATAAAACCGGATGTCATCATAGTAAATCATATTAAAATCTTCAAAAAACTCAAGTTTTAAAAAGCAAAGCAACTTAAAAAAAAATAGGTACTAAAATAAATCTATCCCCCAATAATTTCTGAAATGCTTTACACAAACAAAAAATTTATGATTTTGCAAATAAAATATATGAAATGTACACTTATATTTACATATAGAGCTCTTTTTGAAACTGTTAGAACTGGAGTTTAATACCCACAGGCACAGACGGCATTTGCGCATCCATTTGTTTGCCTTCATATTCAAGGCGACGGCTGGGTTCTTTGATAGATTTTTTACAATAGTTCTGCTAAATAAGTATTATGACTGATGTTGCAAGACTTTTTTCATCATGATAAACAAAAAAGGATATTAAAAAACAGGACATTACCTCTTCGCTGCACAGATGGATTTTATCAAATGCTACCACCTTCCCAAGCACTTCTTCCGTGTAAATTATGTGATGTGAAACTCCGATTCCCAAAGCGTTACATCTCAATCCTCCATCCGATACCAGCTGTACGAATAAGTGTGGCTCATCCAAAATATAAAAAAACCAAGTAAATATGGCTTCAGCGGAATAAGTTACCAACTATTTTGGATATTCCATCATTAAACGATGATCATAAGAGGGGCAAAAACATCGGTAAATACGTCGATCTAAATCATTGGTCAGCAGAAAATCATGAACACTAATCAGTGATTGATTTTTATCGATATTTCTGCTGAACGCTTATGATTACTGATCATGATGCCAGATTTTATCCATCATGATCAGTAAAGAGGAAGCGTAAAAAAGTACTCTTATTTTCTGTGATTCTAATGGATTACATAGAATTTAAATATCCATAATAATAATTAAATAAAAGGAATGCAAACCAAAAGAAATATAATTTATTAAACATGAAATCAGTGAAATCCTTAATTATTTTGTAATAATTAGTTTAGAATTTAATTTTCTGTAGTAACGAAAACGGACTGCAGTGCTATAATTGCGGCAATGCACAAAATAAACTTGAAAGCCTTTCTTTTTAAGAAAAAAAACCTCCCTTATTAAATAACAATGTATTATATTCGGTATCTGGTCAAAAATTATTGTTTGGACTGTTTAATGAATTTTTAAGAATGTCCCGATCTGTTTTTTATACGCAAAATCAAATAATTGTTGGCGGGAAGCTGGACGATAACAATTGTTTCCAAGCCAATTATGTTTGATACAGCGTAATGTATCATTAGCACTTGGCAAAACAACTTGTTCACTGATTACTGATCCATTATTGATGATTACTGATCCATTACTGGTGAAAGTATATATTTATATATACCTTTAAGTATACATTTCCGGAATCCTCGTCATTAATATGTATATATATAAATCAATGACGATAGATAACTATAATTCTTAAATTGCAAACTTTTTTATTCTTCACCTGTGACCCTATACGCTTTACAAAAAGAATCCGAGCAAAATTACATGGCATACCGCCATGATCATTTTCTTTAACTGAAACATCAATTTTTTTTAACAATATAATTTACAACGATTTTGCCATTCTCTGTACAAGGATGACATTTTTTAAAAATTCACACCAAATACGCTCTATCTAACGACAGTGAAAACATATCATTATTGGCTACATTCTATTAATACCTCCGTGAACCAGCCCTATATTTTGGTGTCATCCCAGTCATAATTTCTGTTTAGCAGGAAAATTCTGTTTGGTCGTTCTGCTTTGGATACTGGGTATAATCCAAAAGCTTTTTATTTGTGTAAATAGAGTGTGCGTTAAATCAAAAAACATAATATATTAAACTGATTATGTCTGAACTTCAGTCATCGTTACTGTTAAAGAAGCAATTGGCAGGCAAGTTTAATTTTTCCAAACATATATACATTTATGTATATACATACATGCATACTAATACTGCAACATGTATATGTATGTTTAATTTTTTTCATATACACCATTTGAAATTTATAAAATTTTTTTTTTTAAAGGCATTTCTATGTCACGTGTTTTTTTATATCTTTATTTATTCCTTAATTTATTTGTGTCTTTCTATGTTAAAAATTATACCCATTTGTAAATGATTTGTTAAATAACATAATAAACATTGAATACACCTTATGTAAATTGAAAATTTGTAAATAATGCAAAAATAAATAAAACTAACCCCTTGAATGCTCGTAAATGGTTATTTGTCATAGGCATTTACATATATGTATGTATGTATATATGTACTACAAATATACATATGCATTTATAATATTGTTCGATAATCTAACATATTACAAAACTTATTGTATCTCCTAATATATATGTACATACGTATATACATAATGCTTGTACATGTGCATACTTCCATTTGAGTGTATGACGAACATTTTTAGTTTAAAGTTGTTCTATACGTAAATACATACATACATACATGTAGGTACATACATATGTCTGTTGATTTGATATGATTTAAAATCCCAATACCATTTACCAATTTCAGTCAATCATACCCTTAATCTTAGAATGCTATTATAGGTTTTAGAAAACTGGCTGGAATGAGATTTTACATACAATAGGATGTACATACATACATACAGTTTGTCAAGTAATTCTTTGCAAAACGAAAAATGCCTCACAATTTTGGATTTAAACTGAAAATTTGTTAATAAATACAAGAATTTTTTAAAATTTTCTTTTACAATATTATTAGGATAACTTTAATCTATAAATATAAAAAACAAAACTTAAATATTTTATCTTAAAACATAGTAAAAAATAACAATAACAAAAACATTGCAATTCGTATGCTGTCAATTAATTCTTTGCAATTTGCAAAGACGTTATAGTTTACCAAGGATAACTTAAAGACTATAATAGCTGCGGCGTTAATATTTTATGTGGAGTCCATTTGCATCTATTACAGCATGGAGGCGTCGCGACATTGGCATTATTAGCCCTTTCAAGTCGTAATATTCTGGAATTTTCTCCCATTTCTCCTCTATTACTTTAATTAAACCCTTTTTATTTGTTGGAGTCCGTTTAGTCACTTTCTTTTCCAAAAAATCCCAAAAATTTTCTATTTATATTTATATCTGGGCTTTCCGCAGGAGTGTCAATGACTTTTTTGCAATTAACAGGAGCCAGGTCCTGCACAGCTGCGATTTGAACTGGAGTTTGTTTTCCTGGTGCAGTTAATATTTATTTCTTTTTGGACAAGTTACGTCATGCAGACCAAATTTCTCCGCGCTTCTGGTCAATTCCTTTTTAAGGATGTCCAAATAAAACTCCTTCGTCATTATATCATTAAAAATCCGCAGCTCACCAACTCCTTTGGATGATATGCACCCCCTTATCATCACAGAAAACTTGCCAAGTTTGAATGTTGGTATGATATTCTTCGGCTGGACACCTGTGTTTGGTTTCCTCCAAACTTTATTGGGTCATCCATGAGTGTATAGCATTATTTTAGTCTCGTCACAAAAAAAAACTTCATCCCCATACTCAGGAGGCTGGTTAACGTGGCCGATAGAGAAATTAAACCGCCATTCAATATTTATAGCTGAAAGCATTGGTTTCTTCCTGGCAATGTGTGAGGAGTATTTGTGGAGATTCAGGACTTTCCTCACAGTCTCATGGCAACCTGTTTTTCTGCAATCATTTTTTAAGTCCAAAGCCAACTTTCTGAGGGTTGTTGGCGTGTTTTTATCAATTTGTTTCGAAATTTTATAATGGTCGCGTTTGGAGAGCTTTTGGTAATCTGCCTGTAGAATTGTACAGGTCAAGTCTATTTTTCTTTTTAGACCGTTGAATTATTTTATACATTGTTCCTAACTTAATATAAAAAATTTCTGAATGTTCCGACGCCGATTACCCTTTATAATGGTTAAAGTAAACCAATTCTATGTTATTGTTGTCAATTCGTTTGCCGAGCATGATTAAAATTCTGGACTCGATCAAACACGAACTTTTTCCAACGAAATTTTTCAAGAATAAAAAAGTAAAGACCACTAAGAAGTGGCAAGCGTTAATTTTCCTCAGAATTTGCTTTGCGTTGCTTAATTCTAGGAACCTCTTCAACTCTTGTTTGCATTTTGCAAAGAATTAATTGACAGCATACGAATTGCAATGTTTTTGTTATTGTTATTTTTTACTATGTTTTAAGATAAAATATTTAAGTTTTGCTTTTTATATTTATAGATTAAAGTTATTCTAATAATATTATAAAAGAAAATTTTTAAAAATTCTTGTATTTGTCAATAAATTTTCAGTTTAAACCCAAAATTGTGAGGGATTTTTCGTTTTGCAAAGAATTACTTGACAAACTGTATGTATATACACTACCTAGAAAAAGTGTGCGTACACACTTAACACGCAACTTGGATGTTAAATAAAAATAGTTCTATGGAAGATATTGACTTCATTCTTAAAACAAAAAGCATCACTATTTTGTAATGCCTTTATTACCGAAAGCTGCAAGATGTTTTTCACGCTGATTGAAAACTTTGTACGCCGACTTTTTCTTGCCTAAAAACTTGTGTTTTTATTGTTTTTTAATTTTAATTAAAATAGTTGTCAATGGAACAAATGAAGACTGGTTATAATTTTAATAATTGATGATTCTTAGAATTAAAAAAAAGAATGAAGTCAATATCTTCCATAGAACTTTTCTTATTTAACATCTAAATTGCGCGCTTAGTGGGTACGAAGACTTTTTCTGGTAAGTGTAAAAATTTTTGTATTGCTCAATAAATTAATTAATTACAGCCGGCTCTTACATTTACTGTTTGCGAGCTGATAGTCCCTGCTTTGGTCGAGATAGTGTTAGATAATAAGAGCTAATAGTAACAGAATATCGGTGTCAATCACCAAAGATTAAACTGAAAGTGAAGAAGGTTAGAACACGTTTTTTGTGCACATTTGAGACCTAATGCATGCATTATGCATATGAATGTATATGTGTAGAAATTAGCGAAATGTGTGCGCATAAACACAATTTCTTGTTTTTGTAATTATTAAATTTTAAAGCTCTACCCGCTAAGCTAATCGAAAAACCACCGAGTATATGTTCTATTATGTGAGTCTTCATATCTGAACCCACAATATCTCAACATTTTTGAGCTTATTTTACATAATTGAACATCTATACTCTTTGGTTTAAACTTTTAGAGATAGAAGACTCGCAGGTCTGCTATTGTATAAAATGCATTGACGACCGTGTAGCAAAGGCCCTTGGCAAAAAAGTTTTAAACATGTTAGGGTACTTCCTGACACCACTTACTTCAACGTATGATTATTGTTCACATTTTATTAAATAAGGTTGTAACTAAAATGTCACTAACCAGAAAAAGCCTGCGTACACACATAACTTTGATGTTAAATAAAATTAGTTATATGGAAGATATTGACTTCTTGGACGTTGATGCACTACGATCAGTACGTACAAGGGGCCCGTATTAAACCAGGCACGTGCCTGTTGGGTTAAGTACTTACACGCGATAGGAAATATAGAAAAGAGTACGAGGAAATTAACTACTGGCGTGCTGCCAAATTGCTTGCCTGCATGTCTACTAAGTGGGTTAGAATTACAATTTTTAGTTTTGGAAGGCTATAAAAGTTAGAGATTAATGTGTACAAATCACTATAATTTGCACACATTTCTCTAAAAGGATCATGCAATTCAAAGGAGGTTCTACGGTGGTGCAACACTAAAGGAATATAGGATATAGTATTTCTACTTGGTTCATGGAAATTGAGCTGACTCAACAATTTAGCACTTTCCACGTCGCCATGAATGTGGTTATAGATGAAGGTAATGACATGCATAGTTCAACGGTTGGTTAAGGATGGTAAGTTAAGTAGGAGGAGTCTATTAGTGTAAGATGGTAATCTTTGGTTTACATCCCAATTAAAACCGCGTAGAGCGAAAAATAAAGTATCCATATTTTAAGAAAGGACGAACTGAAGAGGTATTGAATTCATTGAATTCCTTCGACCACCGTTTAATAAATCCAAGCACACACCTTGATCAATAAAATAAAGTTTTGGGTCTAAGCGAACACCCAAATCATCAACAGAATTAATTCTTTCCAAAGAGCAGCAGTTAAGCGTGTAAGTAGGAAGCTTAGAAACGACACTAGAGAGTGTCATTAGCTTTCGTTTAGAGCCAGGGATATTAAAGTTTAAAAAGTTTACACGGCACCATGTTTGAAAATTATTGACATCTGTTTGTAAATCATACTGACAGGCGACGTCCTTGTATTACACGCAAAGCTTGATGTCATCTGCTTACATAAGCACTCTGGAGTTTGTCAAGACTTTGGGCAGGTCATTTATAAATAATATAAACAATAAGGGTTCCAAAAGGAATAGTTTAGGGATAGCCGACAACTTAGAGATTCCTCTATAATTGCTAGCATCCAATTTGGTACCTTTTTTGTGGAGAGGAATAATAAAAGATTCTTTCCAAATAATGAGAAAGTCGGACGTTTCTAAGGATAAGGTAAACAATTTCAGAAGGCACAATACCTGAGCACACAGTCAGGAAGAAGAGTTTGAATAAGTTGTTTAAAACAAACTGCGAAAAGAGATCGGCTACTGTCTGATCATTATTTGCGGCAGTATTTTCAAATGAAAGCGAGGAAGGATTTGTTTTAGGCTTACGTTTAGTGTTAACGAAATTATAAAACTGTTTTGGGTCCTGTGAGAACGGGGCCCTACAACGAGTTAAATAGTTTTTATAACACTCCGCGTTCAGCACGGCAAGCTTTGACCGAGCTGATAAATAAGATGAAAGGGCAGATTGAGAACATACAGCCTAGATTTTTATTAAGTCGGGTCAACTCTTTAGAAAACCAGGGCGGTTTATT